TTATATAATTTAATTCATACTCCAGAGTGTAGGGATAATACCCATTAGGCAATGGGGAAATCCCAGGATCTGAAGCTGGAAATTCTGTGATCTGTATATCCTGTTATTGGTCTATGGCCATGGGACACTCAGGTATCAAATACTTCCGTTTCAGATGTAACAGGTTAGAAGAATTCAGTATTATCTCACGCAATTGCAACCAGTCGGTCCCATGAAATTCCTAGATCATCTTGAACCCAAAGTGATAATCAGAATGACTCTGGTTATTTATCGTCCACCAAATTTAATGGAAGACATTTCTGAACTCATCTGAAACATTATCACAGCAAGCTGAAGTCTTTCCTTAAGACTTTCCAATAGCAACTTCCTCTGGAATCCATATAATTCTATATAAGCAATTCTATTTTGGAAAAGGAGAAGGCAATGAAGAAGCTGTCCCTGCAAAACAATAAGCATTAGCTGTGCTGTCCCAGCCAGTTTATGGGAATTGGATAGTTGCTTAGGAATTATGAGCTGTCCCCTTAAGGGAATGCACCATGGTAAATGTAGTTAAAGGTATCCTGGAAAATGTAGTCCATGTCATGTGGCCACATCTGTAATCCCGATTGGTCACTAATTTGACCCTCGATGGGTTGGGGGAGTTTCCCTCACTTTTGCCTCCCTAACTCATGGGAGCTGCTTTCTATCGCTACGACATGGGTTAGGAGATAACCATCTTTTACTACAAGGCAGATATACAAAGGATTGGTCATTAAAGAACTTCATCACAAATGTGAGTTATGAGGATACCTGATGAACCAATAAATGTACTTTGTTATGGATGTCTTGTTGAGTTATCTATCTGCATCTGTACAGCTTCAAATCCACCTCTGTGCAGGAGCAGAAAATTACAAAATGTGATGTAGTAATTAAGACTTTGGATTAGGACTGGCGTAACCCAGTTTCAGGTCCACCTTTGGCTCTGAACCTCCTTGGATGATTTAAGAGCCAATCATTCTCAGTCCAACCAACTTCATACAACAATTTGACCTCCTAGAAAAAAGGCAGGATATAAATATAACATATAACTATAAACATAAATATTTCTTCTTGAGAGATCCATAATCCATAACTTCTACACAACAACTTCATAAAAAGCTGTGAGGAGAAATAAAGTGCTGCTTACAAATGATAGATAGAAACTAATCAAGGAGAGAACCAATCTAGAAATAAGGAGAAAGTTCCTGACAGAACAATTAATCAATGAAATGACTTGCCTTCAGAAGTTATGGTGCACCATCACTGAAGATTTTAAGAGATTGGAGAACCATTTGTCTGAAATGGTATAGGGCAGTGGTGGCTAACCTTTTTGGGCTCCTATGCCAAAAATTGTGTGTGCGCTTGCACGCTTGCGCTCGCATGCCATCACCCAGAAGGCAATGAGCCCCCCCACGTCCCCTATGCATGCACGCGCAATCCCCCCATCCACCCACCCCACCGCCTTACCTGCACTGCGCCTCACAGCTGATTTTCGGCTGGTTTGAGGCCTTTTTTGGCCTCCCAAAGGCTTGAGGAAGGCTTCTGCAGGCATCTACAAGCTTTGTAGAAAGGCCGACATCTAGCCCTGTTTCTTCCTGTTTTTCTGAAAATACCGGAAGTGACAAAACGGGGCTAGATTTCGGCCTACAAAGCTTGTAGAAGCCTGCAGAAGCCTTCCTCAAGCCTTTGGGAGGCCAAAAAAGGCCTCAAACTGGCCGAAAATCAGCTATGAGGCATGCACATTTGCAGTGAGGTAAGTTTGTCTGCAGCTCGCATGCCGGCACAAATGGCTCTGCATGCCACCTGTGGCACGTGTGCCATAGGTTCACCATCATGGGTATAGGGTCTCCTGCTTGAGCAGAGGATTGCACGATAAGACCTCAAAGATCCCTTCCAACTCTTGTTATTCTATTATCTCCCCATTTTTCTAAAGTGGACACATACTCTTTCATTCCCATATATTGGCCAAAGATTTATTCAGCTGCAACAGAGAAACTGTAACAGGGCTTAGCACAAAGGATACTATTGGAAGTATCTCAGATGTTGGACTATGACTGGGAAGACTTGGGTTCAACTGCATGAGTCACCATGGTAACTGACTGGATGACTTTGTCACTCTATCTTAACCTAACCAACTTCACAGAATTGCTCTTGTGGGAATAAAATGAAGGAAGATCACTGTGAGAACTTCCTTGGGCTATTGGAGAAAAGACAGGATATCAGTCTAGCATGTCAATCAATAAAAACATTCTTGCTTGAAATGGTTATGCTAGAGAAGTCTTTTTAGAAAGGAAACAAAAATTGCAGAAGTGAAGTATTCGATTTCCTAGAATAACAAACTAATTGCAAGCAGAGTTCAAACATTCTGGTATAGGGTATTAGGAAGCAAAATCCATAGGATAAGATTACCAGAGTTAATAATGCTTATGAAAATATATTGGAATATTTATTTATTTATTTATTTATTTGATTTGCCAATTGTTTACAAGATAATAAGTATAAGTGTATACATAGTTGTGAATACATGAAATGGGTACATATAAGAAAAATAAAAGAAGAATAAGAGAAACAATAGGACAGGGACGGTAGGCACGTTGGTGCGCTTATGCACGCCCCCTACAGACCTCTTAGGAAAGGGGTGAGGTCAATAGTAGACAGTCTAAGGTTAAAGTTTTTGGGGTTTGGGGAAGAAACTACAGAGTCGGGTAGAGTATTCCAGACATTGACCACTCTATTGCTGAAGTCGTATTTCCTGCAATCAAGTTTGGTGCGGTTAACTTTGAGTTTGTATCTATTGTGTGCTCTTGTGTTGTTATGGTTGAAGCTGAAGTATTCATTGACAGGTAGGACATTGCAATGTATGATTTTATATACCATGCTTAAATCAGACCGAAGACGGCGTAATTCAAGGTTTTCTAGTTCTAGAATTTCAAGTCTGGTGGCATAAGGTATTCTACAACGAGTAGAGGAGTGGAGAACTCTTCTTGTGAAATATTTCTGGACTTTCTCAATTGTGCTAATATCAGATACGTAATGTGGGTTCCAGACTGATGAACTGTATTCGAGTATTGGTCTAGCAAATGTTTTGTATGCTCTGGTTAGTAGTGTGATATTACCAGAGAAAAAGCTACGTAGGATTAGGTTAACAACTCTTAATGCCTTTTTGGCTATGTAGTTGCAGTGGGCTCTAGCACTTAGATCATTAGAGGTGAGTATTCCAAGGTCCTTTACAGAGCTTGGGTCATCAACAAGATCTTGACTATTCAGCTTGTATTTTATTTTCTGATTTTTTTTGCCAATATGTAAGACAGAGCATTTATTTGTTGAGATTTGAAGTTGCCATTTGTTTGACCATTCTGATATATATATATATTTGGGAGGTAGGAATGTCCCTTCTAGTCACTCTTGATTCCTAGTGACTGTCTGGCAAGTCCCTGCAGTTTTTTTGTCAAGATTTTGGAAGTGGTTTGCCCTTGCCTGCTTCCTAGAGCAGAGAGAGAGTATCCAGCTGCCTTTGGGTCTAAGGTGGGACTAGAACTTACAGTCTCCTGGTTTCAAATCTTAGGACTTAACTGCTGCACCTGTCAGGTGCGAACAACCAGGCCCACATTTGCAGAGTTTGAGCTAAATATTTTACCATGTTCTGCCTATAATTCAGGAATTTCTCCAGTCTGGCAGCCTACTTCTAGGAACAATTATATAAGGCTCCAAGGAACTGGGAGGGGGGGTCAGAGCTAGCCCTTTTACTGTTGTGCAGTGACTCCAGGCTAGCTCCGTGCTTGATTCCTCCTCCCAGCCAGGCTGGATACTTCCCAACAACACCAAACTGACTCTGACTGGAAGAATAACTTATTTCAAATTGAGTATATAGCCAGCAGTATGTTATGCTGCAAAAAAGGCATGTGTACTTTTAGGCTGTATTAACAAAAGTGTAATTTCCAAATGATGGGATTCCATTGTTTCCATCTATTCTGCATTGGTCCAACCATTCCTTAGATGCATTGTCTAGTTTCAGACATCATTTGTTAAGAAAGATTCAAAGAAATTGAGACAGATTCAATGAACAGCAACTATGATTATTGGGGGGCTTGAAATTAAATCCTAATTAAAGAACTGGATATGCTGAGCCCTGAGAAAAATAATGATGAAGTGGGGACATGATAATACTGAAATGATATTCTGCAGGAGAAAATCAAGACTTACTCTCTCTTTCTCTCTCTCATTCCATAATTCAGAACTTGATATATTGGATTTAGGTTGCAGAAGGCAGATTCCATTAGAAGAAAGTTTCTAACAAATAAAAATAGTCTGACAATAGAGCCCATCACATAAATATTAGTCCCAACCCTGCTTGTTAGATGTAGACCATGAACTGGTTTAGGCAATGCATTCGTAGCCAAAAAAGCATTAAATGCTTTTCTGAAATCTATTTGGTTCAACAGCAGAACGCTTCTGTTGTAATACTGAGAAACCTCCACAAGGGGGAGCCTTATATACTTATATACTTATAACGAAAATTCAGTGATTTTTTTTGGAAAAGCACAAATGGAATGGTAGCTCTATCAATTAAGGCATGAATTAGAATGAAAAGAAACATAATAAATGTTTGAAAGGGAGCATTCTGTTTTATCCTTTTAGCTGCCTACATAAATTCTGAAGAATGTCTGAATGCCTACATAAATGTCTGAAGAAAATCTGTTTCTCTGCCAAAGGTGATTAGATGGGGTAATGAAATTCAAAATCCGTGAGTCATTTTTCTGGCAAAATGAAAGCATCATCAATAATGGCCACTCCTCTTGCTGCCACTGCCTTCCTGTTCACCAGTGTTTACCTTGAACAATGATGTTGCCAGGCACACACGCATTCCAATCATTTCATAATTGCATTCAAACCCCCTGCATTTACACTGAGGTTAACTATTTACCAGATTGGCTTAATGTAAGGCCAGGAAGTGCTTGTGCAGTTGTCATGTTAAAACCAGTACTAGATGGCTAGAATGTGCCGGCCTTCAACGTGCCACTTTTCTTACGTCAATAAAGCCCAAAATCCTTTTAACTTGGAATTTTTTATCTATACACTCTGACCTGCTCCTTTGTGATGTGGCAGAGCAAGACTGCTACTTGCATGGATTCTTCCACTCTGAGGGCCCAAAGGTAAGATGCCATGTTTTTATTATTTTTGTAAAAAGAGAAGCAAGTTCCCAAACATCATTCCCCACCCCACCCCCAGTTTTACTTGTTAAGAATTCTAATGTATTTCTTTGTTGTTTGTATTATTTCTATAAGGTGAAGCAAAGCAGCTGGGAAAAGCGGCCTTGCTTATCTGGTCCTCTCTAGTCATGATGGCTGTGAATAACGATTGCTTATAATCCAAACTTTGGGGAAGATACCACTTTGGGAAAGGCTGGAAATAAAGAGATAAAAGATTTGAGGGACCTCAAAGAGATATTTCTCCCCAGAGAATCATGATCCTTCTTCCTTGAGAGGTAAAAGGAAGGACTGAATTGTTTTAAAGCAAAAACTGGAGATGCTGTAATATGGATTTACCCTAGAAAAATAAAAGGGAAGCTTACTTAAGGAAAGTTTAAACAAATAATGTATTTGCAACCAGAAGTCCACATTTAAAATATTTTTAGTCTTTAAGGCTTGAGGAAGGGCTGTAACACCCAAAGGGATTAAGCAGAAAGTTCTCCCCTTTCTTGTGATGAGTTTAATAAACCATTTGTCTTCTTAGTTGTTTAAAAAAATAGTTAATCAACTCACAGTTTGCTATTGAAGTTGAAAGCCAGTGTAAGCTGTTGGAGACAGACCCCAGAGTCCCCATTTGATCACAGCACCCGATGGGGTGATTTTTTTTCATCCCAAGCTACTTCACAGGGTTGCTGTAATTAGAATTATGATTACAGCTCTACGATAAAAGACAAAATATAAACATAACTAATAAATGAATAATCTAGGAAATTGGGCATTGAAGTCTATCATTAAGGCTGGAGAGAAGCATATAGTCCATGAACTACGGATTAGCAATTCTATTTTACAATGAATAACCCCCAGATATGACCTCTAAGTCATATAGGCCTCTAATCAAAATAAAATATATTTCTGAATGAGCAGAGTAATTTAATAAATCCAATCCAACTACTCTTTATAATAAAGAAACCATCAGTAATAACTAATAAGAGGCATAATATTAAAAGAAAGATTCTAAGGCAAATTCTGGCAACAGAAAGACAGCGTAGAATTCATACTCATTGCCGGTCGGTTGAAATACCGGTTCATCAAACCAGATGCAAATTTAACACCCGAACCTGTACGAACCGGTAGAATCCCACCCCTGATTATATATTTGACAATCTTACAACAAAGAGATAGTTTTTCACTTTCAGAATAACTATGCAAGATGCAATAAGAGGGAGAGATACTACATAAACTTCAAGTGTTCAAGAAAGGACTATGTAAAGGGAAGTCATTGTTCCTGGTCTTAAGTCATTGTTCCTGGTCTTTCAGTCCCTGACTAAATTCTGAAATGAATATGTGATGTCCTTGGTACTCACTAAGTTTCATTGTTTTCTTGAGGTGTTTCATTACCACACTAGTAATGTCATTAGTGCTGGAAAGGAGTGGTGTTTGCTCTGCATTTATATATTTGTGGCTTGCCCTGTCAGTGTTAGTGGTTTCTTGATTAGGCATATTCATATATACTATCTGCACTAATTCCTTGCTTAGGACATATTCATCCTTGAAATGAATATGTACAGGTAAAGCTTATTTAACAACTGCCTTGTTAAGTAACCGTTTGAAGTTACGATGGCACTGAACAAGTAACTTTGCAATTGATTCTCACATTTATGACTGTCCCAGCATCCTGAAGGTAACATGATCACCACTTGCACACTTCACAGATGGCTTCCAACAAGCTGAGTCAATGGAGAAGCCAGCACTAAAATCACAAGTCACACTCACATGAAGTCTCGCCGAACAATCTTGGTGGTTTGGTTAACAAATGCAGCAGAAGTGGAGCCATAAGCTATTGTGATTGTGCAATGTCTCGCTTAACGACCGTATCACTTAGTGTTGGAGTTGTGGAGTTGGAGTTGTGGTTATTAAGCAAGGACTACTGGTATTTGCATTTGAATGAGCTCTCAGCACATAACATGCAGAGTAATGTGTGAAGCCTATAATTATATTAAGACAAATGTAGCTTCCCGCCCTTACTTCAGACCAGTGGTGAGATTCAAAAAATTTTACTACCAGTTCTGTGGGCATGGCTTGGTGGGTGTGGCAGGAGAAGATGCTATAAAATCTCCAGTCAGAGGTGGTATTTGCCAGTCCTCCAAACTACTCAAAATTTCCACTACCGGTTCTCCAGAACTGGTCAGAATCTGCTGAATACCACCTCTACTTCAGATCTAACTTGTCAATTGAAAGAAGATGGACCCAAGGTACTTGTTCTATTTCTTTTCTTGTAGGCTGTTTTTCAAAATCAGGCCAATACCTAAAGGGAAGCCCTCCATTTTACAAGCTGAATTGAGAATCACTGGGTCTGACACCGCAAATAGAGCTGGACATAATTTATAGTACATATTAACAAGGCCTATTTCTCTAGGGTTGATAACTAATAGTACTTGTATATAAAGTAAAATATCCAGAAAACAGCAATGGCCAGAATCATTTAACAACTGCATAATTAGATAAACACATGGATCTCCGTCTCCAAAAATTGAATCTTGTTACAAATTTCTTCAGTGCATTTTTGTTTTATTTAATTAGCCCATTTGAAAAGGAAAACGAGTGCCGTTTTAAAAAATATTTTAGTTAGGAAACAGAGTGTGTTCCTCAATCTTCAGAAATACCAAGATGGTGTTTTGTCTAATTCGAGATGAGGCTTAGTAAAATAGAGTGATGGGATTAAAAAAAAATTACTACTGGTTCTGTGGGCGTGGCTCGGTGGGCATGGCATTGCTTGGTGGGCGTTGCTTGGTGGGCGTTGCTTGGTAGGCATGGCAGGGGAAGGATACTATAAAATATCCATTCTCACCCCACTCCAGGGGAAGGATACTGCAAAATCCCCATTCCCTCCCCACCCCACTAACCTGCTTTCCAGCTCCGTTCTCCTGTGCAGGGCAACAAAAGAAGACCCCAGCCAATCAACCGGGACTCGGAAGGCAGAGAATAGATGGGGGCAGGGACAGTCAGAGGTGGTATTTGCCGGTTCTCCGCATTACTCAAAATTTCCACTACTGGTTCTCCAGAACTGGTCAGAACTTGCTGAATACCACCTTTGATAAAATAGAGACAAAATCCCAAGTATTGCCTTTAAGCGTACATGTTTAATCAGCTGAATAAAGACGGGCCCTTCTAACAGAGAGGAAACCCCGAATACATAGAGATTTTTATCCTCCACCCTGCAAGGCTGTCACATAAGAGATACAGGAATCACCCAGACAGTCTGGCACGCAGTAGGTAAGATATCAAGATGTTCTTGATACGTAGGGCAGTTCTTTAGGGCACTGGCATCTCAGGACATTGGGTGTTTCCCTGGGGACTTTCCACAGCCCTGCAGTTGTCTAGAGATAATGGTGCCATCTGTACATACTCGCCTTCAAGGCTTTGCCCAGATTCCAAGTCAACAATGGATTCTGAGTGTGAGGTTTTATTCTGACTGATCGGAGCAGGAATAACTCTGAAATCCTGTGCATGTTCATTCAGAAAAAAAAATACCCTGACTATCAAACTGGATTAATCAACTCATTAGTTGAGGATTAGGAGAAAACTTTTAAATCCAACTACACATTTCATAGCTTTCAGAAAACAATGTAAGCATTGACAATGGATTCAAGATAAAACATATCAAAAAAAGGGCAAAATATTTGTTATTTCCTTTGCTTGACGAACTTCATCTAAAAACTCGTGTTTTTACAGTATATCTGGCTCTGGCAAATTCTATTGTAAATTAAGTTGATGTACATCTCCTCTTCTAAAATTTAGATGAGAATGTTATTAAGTTACTTGTTTAGTTTGTACTCTGCCTTTCAGCATATAAAGTACTCAAGACATAATTAAAGTAAAAACAAAGTGAAAGTTTAAAAAAAACAACTAGGAAAATAAAAAGATATATTTTTTTCCTTGCTGCAAAATTGTGCCAATTTTGATTCTTACCATAATACTGTCAGTCAATGTAAATAATCAGAAATAAAATATGTACATATTAATTTAAAACATCTGTAAACTGCTTTCCATTTTTAAAAAGCTCAACATAATTTATGATAAATAGTATATACAATAAATAAACTAGGATTCTTCTCATGGACAATGTGCTAAATATATATTTGAGTTTAATTTTTTTTCTGTAGCCTTTTTAGAAAAAAACGCAGATTAATATAAAAATAACCAGAACAGGTTTACAATGGATAAGCACATATAAAAGTAACATGAATTGAAAATAAACAGATTTTCCCAGTTCAAGGGCAATCTCTCTGTAAATGTTTCTCTAAACAACAATATCCACAAATGTTTGCTGTTCTGTTCCAGTACAGCTTGGAATCCTGGCACTGTCCGTTCTAATTTTTTCATCAAATCCTTTCAAAGATGTTGGGATTACAGCTCCATGAACTCCTAACACATCTGAAGGGCACTAGAATGAGGTTGATCCTAAACGGCAGATTTATCTGTGGTAATTTCATTGCACTATATTAACCATAACTTGTTTTTATGTGTTGGAAGAAAATGTCCTTCTGGGTTCAGTTCCAAGTGAGGGGAAAGACACTGGAAACATGGAGGCTGTTTGGAAAGATGGTTTAATGGTGGACAGGATCACATGCCTTGGAGCTCCTGAGCAAAAAAGGGAAGAGATGCTGAGAGTCCCTGGGTTTTATGCCCTCTGTTGGGATTTGAATATGAGCTTGTATTCTGATTGGTTGTCAGACTCCCATGGGGCCATGCAGGGGCAACTCTGTAGGCTGTCCTGAGTCCAAGGCTTGGTTGAGCCTTGCTGGATGCTGATGTAATGAAAGTGCTTTGGCAATTCCTATTATGGGTCTGCCTGAAGAAGGTAGATCTTTGTTATGTAGAATAGACTGGACCAGGCCTTAATGGCCCATTAGCAAAGGTAGGGGGACTGAGTTTCTGCCTCTCTGAGTTTCTACTTCTCTTTTAGGGGAAATATTCTGTCTTTTTAATATATCCTATTTCATTTCTCTAGGAGAGGGATGGGTTTTAACTTCCAACATATGCTAAAACAATGTACAGTATTTCATCTTCAACTGTACATCCCCCCCAAAGCAGAAATGGTTGTTCAAGTGTAATAAATGCAGCAATGAAATCAAAAGTCTGCTGCTTTCATGACTCATAGCATTTGGAGTCAGAGGTGCTCAAATTTTACAAGTTACATCACGGAAAACAAACTCTTTAAGAGTTTCCTCCCGTTCAATTAATCTAATGGAAACCAAAGCACTGGATTATGCTTTGCCAGGATAAAATATCTCTG